ATGTCACTGAACTGTGCATGTAGAAATTTTTGAAATGGTGTATCTTTGGCTATGTGTATTTTCACCAAAAAAAAAGGTTGAGAAGTTAGAGGGCTCACATGTTGTGGGGTTGTTAACCAATGTCTTAAAACAATATGTGTACTACTGTTTCATAAGAAACTATTTGTTCTGTAAGCCTTCACCTGAAGTACAATAAAACAAGAAAGAAAAAAAATTTGCATCCAGTAAGAAACAAAATCAAAGCTACACAGCTTTTCAGCAGAGACAGTCCACCATCAACAGTTTTCCACAAATGACAATTTTAGCCCTAGCTGAGCTGCTGAAAATTTGTATGCAAATTAAATTTGTGCTTTCTTAATCACACTTTAAAAGTACAAGGGATCATATTATTTAAAGAAGTTCAAAGGAAAATTCTGTTGTGAAACATTTTTTTTCACTGAAAATAAACACCTATATATCCCAGTATACCGGGATTCTTAAGAAGAGACAACTTGTACAAAGCTAAAATACACACAAAAACAAATCACCTTCCCTCCTACTTTGCTGCACAGACCCAGACCTAAGCTCCAGGTATTATATTTTCAGTGTAAAAATGTAGACCATACACGAGAGAAAGAAAATAATTTCTAGATGTTAAGAGGCAAAATGTTAAAATGTCATCAAGTAGTACTTACTGCAGGTTCAACTTGACTTCGATCTGCAATATCTATGTGGACAATTTCAACAGTTTTCCACATGTTAGGATCTAAACCATGTACCTATAAGCGATAACGAAAAACAAAACAAACTGTGACTTATTTTTGTTAAGCAAAAGTATTTCACTTACATGTCTGATCTTTATCATCTATCTCTCAGGGCGCATTATGGGGATAAAAAATCTAAATCACTATTTCATTAAATTAGCTACCTGGATGAAATCTTGAGGGATCTAGAAACCTTTTGTTACCCCTTACAACCTCAAATAATGGGGGGAGAAAGGATGAACAAAAATCTGTCACTATTATTTTCTGGTAGTCCTCAGAGATGATTTATATACCAAACGTACCTCTCCTTTCATAACTAAAAAACAATACATGATAAAATCCTTGTAACCTGTAAGCCCTGTATAAACCAAGGTACCATTATAATCAGATTTCAAGAAGTTGCACGACTCATCTAAAATCTCTCCTGAATTTGATTATTCTAAAGCTATTCAGGTTCAGTATGTCAATTCTTCTCTATACCTCATGTTGTTCAATCATTTATTTCTGGAACTCTACCTATGAGTCAATTAAGAATTGTTTAAAAACTGACAAAGCTATGCCCATTTGAAAGCTGAAGCATACTAAATGACCTCATTTAGACCCCCAATTTTAGAGAGTCACTATGAAAACCAATACAAAATGTCAAACGATCATGTGGAAGAAAAACTCAAGTACAACAAATGATACTTCAGAAGTTATATTAATTGGCATCAATAACGTCAAAGCACCAAGAAATTAGTGTACAAAGATGACTGCCATACAACTACAGTAAGAATATAACCTACCATAATTATCATTAACTTGCTCTCCTATAACAGTATATCAAAAGGTTGGAACAGGAGTTCTCAAACTGAAGCGTGCGCCAGAATACCCTGGTGGGCTTGTTAAATCACCAATTGCTGGGCCTTACCCTCAGAGATTCTGATTCAGCAGGTCTGGGGCGAGACATGAGAATCTGAATTTCTAACAAGTTTCCAGATGATGCTGATGCTGCTGGCCCAGGGACCACACTTCTGAGGACCACTGGACCAAGCGCAAAGAAGCCCTGATGGCACACTGGTTAAGCACTTCGCTGCTAGCCAGAAAGTTGGTGGTTTGAACCCACTAGCTGTTCCACAGGAAGAAGATGTAGCAGTCTGCTTCTGTAAAGATTACAGCCTAGGAAATCCTAAGGGGCAGTTCTACTCTGTCCTACAGTGTCGCTATGAGTCAGAATTGACTAGATGGTAATGGGTTTGCAAAGCCAAGAGCATCAACCTGTAACAGATGCCCTTCCAAGTCCCCTGACAAATAGAAAACCTTAAAAGTCAATGATTATAGTTGAGTCCTGGCTGACTTTCTTTAGAATTACTTTAGAGATAAATGTGTACCACCTTTTAATAATATAAAACAAGAGTTGGACAACACTTTTTTAGTTATTCAAGGTACATTCTTCTCTCTCCTACCTTCTGGTTATGTCTCTGACATTCAACAGTTATACTAGCAAAAGTGGAATGGAGATAAAAATTAAAACTATACATTCTGCTATGTTACAGCAGCTCTGGCAAATACACAGATGAAAGTAATCTAAAACTAAAGGTTAAAATTGGGCTGGGGATTATCCGTGAATTTTGTTTATCTATGCTTTCCCCGTCCCGGTTACCATGAATAAAGAGAGTTGCTGACAGAAACAGCAACCCATCACCAAAGTCCACTCAAGAGTCAAGGCAAAGGGAAGTCATACAGGAAAGCCCAATGGTTTCTGGTTCTAGTAGGTGTGTTTGCTTGCCTGCTTGCCTCACCTCAATTCCACAGAGCCTGGTGTGGCCAGGTGCTAGTCTAACGCAGGTGACATTACTATGGTGATGGCAAAGTGGACTATGGTATTCCCATTTCCAGGGGCTTCTGTACTGAATGCACAGAGTTGACACTTACGTTTTCTAATGTTCCCAAGTCTGGTTTGTGCCACGTTTCAATTTTAATGAAGAAATCATCTTTCATATATTCATTCTGCAGAAAACACAACAGCAAAATGAGAATGATCTTTCACCGGGTTCCCTGGGGCTCATATCTGTGGGAGCCTCCCCCAGCACAAGCATCTGCGCTTTGGCTCTATGAGGAGACTGACTTACAAGCTGATTTTACAGACTTGTTGGGAAAACCAAAAGCCACATGCTTTTAAATAATTTAATCCTGCTTGTCATGCAGCATTCAGGGCTAATACCAAAGCAGCTATGAGGTTTGGTGAGCAAATCCAACACTCGAAGGAAGTAGCAGAAACAAAATAAAGTCAATGGGGAGATTCTGAAGACAAGGCTGCAAGGAGCCTACGAACACTGGGAACACGTGGTGTCACATGGACTGGTGAAAGGAGCACAGGGGAGAGGAGCCGCACAGTGGTGGGCATTTTTCATAAACAAAAAAGCAAGGAATAGTTGAAAACAATAATTGTAAAAACAAAGTTTAAAGAGGAAGAGAGAGTATGTGACACAAAAATTGTTTTACTCACCGTTACAACTGAGGTACAATGGAGAGCAGGCAATGAAAGGGGAAAAATTTCAGAATATTAATCTGAGTCAAAGCAATCTTTCCCAATATTTAATGTCACAAAGATTAAACTACCTGAAAACACAGAACATTTAGCAGTTTCTATCTGCAAAACACAGTGTACAAGTGACACTATAATTTGGATTATGGAGTATAAACAAAATATGAAGAAAAATCTAACTTTTAAATAATGTTAAAAAAGAATAATGTCACAAAAGCAAAACATCATTTACAAGGCATTCTTAGCAAATGACAAGAGATGGTTTCAGAAGTCCGTCATAGTCTTCCTCTACTATGTAACAATAGAAATAGGAATACTGTTGAGACTACACCAAAAGACACTTCTATAATAAGTGAGTGTGGACAGTATTTTCTTAAGGTTTCTGTCTTTCTTTCATTTGCACACCCCCTGGAGCCAGCATGGTCAGCAACGCTCCCAATGTGGCATCTGGGAATGGACCTGTGCCCTTCATAAAGGTCTGGGGGGAAGAACCCCAGGTAGCTTTTCCTCTGCCACCACTTGGGCAGTGACTGTCCGAGAATCACAGAAGACCTTGTTTAGCAAAACCTTCCTCAAAGGCATGGGCACCGGGAGCTCCCCCTGCATTAGTGGGGTGGAGGAGTAAAATGGCTGCTGGGAAACAGGCTTACCTGTTCTACAGTAGGGGTACGCGTTCCAGGCTTTTTCGTGAAACACCAAGGAGCCCTCAGGAGCAATCATCCTCACAAATGCTGGAACTTTACTGTGAGAAGGAAAACATTGGACATATTTTCAACAGCAACATCGACTCTTAATTGGTATTTATCAGATTACTTCAAAGAGTCCTGTTATCAAAGGTGACCATGTTCCAAGCCTGATGAATTAAAATTCAAGACTGTTATCAACAGTTTTATTTTCAATCCCAAAGTAGTCAACTGGAAAAATTAATGTAAAAACAGTGACATGATTAAGACTATGCTTAACTGTATAGAGAATTTTTAAAAATAGAAGCAATTCTTTCTTAGGGTTATCTAGGTTTTGATCTACTCTCCTGATCTGAAATCTAAGAGGCTAAAAATTGAGGCTACTCCATCTGTGTGTTAATACAACACAGAAGTTCCCCCGTGTGGTTAGACTATACTGTTTCTTAATGCAAAACAGAAGCACCAGAATAAAGAAATATATCTGAGTAAAATTCTTTAATGCATTTTACAGAATAAACCTAAAGAAAAATGACAAGGAGAAGGACCCTACAGAAAAACGGGATTTAAACCATATCCAAGTATAATATCTCGTAGGTGCGGATGGCATTCATTGCCTCAAGTATGATCAGAAGGGGCAAAGGGTTAGATATGATTAACACATGACCAGCAAATTCATAAGACAAACATGAAAGATCCCAACAACAAACAAGCAAAGAACATCACTAAACACATTACAAACACAAAATACGACTGGTTAATAAACAAATGGAAAAATCAGTTTTATCAGTTTTCCACGAAATGCAAATAAAACGATCATTTTCGCTGATTCAAGCCTAATGTAAAGAGAACAGTTTTAACATGTACAGGCTCTTCACACAGACTTGGATTCAAATCCCAATATCACCACTTAGAAGCGGTGTGCCCTCAGACACATTACTGGGCCTCTCTGAACTTCCTCATGAGTTGAATGGAGTTCATATTACCTACTATGTAGGAGTTCCTGGGTAGTACAAAGGGTTTATATTCTTGGTTGCTAACTGAAAGGTTGGAGGTTCCAGTCCACCCAGAGGTAGCTCAAAAGAAAGACCTGGAGATCTACTTTCAAAAAATTAGTCACTGAAAACCCTATGGAGCTGACTCAATGGGAACTAGTTAGGATTATTGAAAGGATGAGTCAGACAATATCTGCAATGTGTTTGGCATACGCCCAGTACAATGAAAACCGAAACCAAACCCACTACTGACGACTCAACTGCAACTCACAGCGACCCTACAGGACAGAGTAGAACTGCCCCATAGAGTTTCCAAGGAGTGCCTGGTGGATTCGAACCACTGACCTTTTGATTAGCAGCTGTAGCACTTAACCACTATGCCACCAGGGTTTCCCCAGTACAATGGGAGGTCAATAAATGGTAGTTACTGATTTTTAATTGTAAGCTGACATGGAGCTGCATACTTTCACATGCTTTTTTTTTTAATTTTAAATCCCCAATAACACTGGGAGGCATTACCTCATCATTTCATACAACCAGCATTTACGTGGCTAAATAACTGTAAGTCAAGCTATGTCCTCCAACTTCAAGCCCTATATGTGTTTTTGTCCCAATATTATAGTCACTTCTCTGAGGACTATCAAGCACAACTTTATTTCCCAAACTAAGAGAAAAAAAATTAAGAAATCTGAGTCCCAGAGAGGACATCTGACCCTGTAATAAGACTGAACAGTTGGCCAGAGCGATTTCTATGTTGAATTCTGGGAGGCTAAGCAGAAAAGGCAGGGAGAAACCCTCCGTGGGCCAGCTGTGCATAACAGAATAGGCAGTGCAGAGAGCACTTTTACCACCGTCTCTGTCCTCAGACCCATGGGTTGGGGCTATTATTCTGGCAAATTAAATCACAGAAAAAGTAAAGCTGAAGTACTCCTATTACATAAGGCAAAACAAGCATAACTCCAAGGACATGAAGAGATTTACACTCGCCTTCACATGTTTATAAGATAATAATGAAGGAAGACTAACTCTCTGAGCACTTACTTACTCTGTTCAAATCTTGGGAAGATTCCTGCAAAGGGGTGTAACTTCAGAGAACTGAAGCCACTCATTAATAAGGTAAAATAATACCACATTAAAAGTCAAAGAATATCTAGAAGTCCAAAAAATATCTCCCATTACTAAAGAACTAGAACCAATATCCCTTTAAATATGGGTGAAGTCTAATCAGCGTATATGTAATACATATATAATACATATGGTTAATTTTTAAGACAAGATACAGACTACCAATCTGACTCAGAATATGATTAACACACCTATCAATGGTTCAGTTGGTCAACTTAGAAAGGGTAGGAGAAAAATATCTATGCACTAGCTCAGAAATGTATTTTAAGTACTGTGTGTTGCTAGAATGTTAGAAGCTTTACCATCAGTATTTCAAATACCAGCAGGATGACCCATACTGGACAGGTGTCAGCAGAGCTTCCAGACTAAGACAGAATGGGAAGAAAGGCCTGGCAATCTACTTCTGAAAACTAGCCAATAAAAACCTGATGGATAACAAATAGATCATAAGGACAGCACAAGACTGGGCAACATTTCCCTTTATTATACATAAGGTGGCCACAAGTTGGAGCTGACACAATGGCAACTAACAACAACATTTATTCCAATAGTGTCTGATAGTCTAAAAACTTTACTACTCATAAAATACTCTAAAATTTGCTGAACCAAACAAAAGAAAACTGGCAGTCATTAAGGAACAGAAAGAGTCAAATGTATGTAAGTTTTAATATTGCTTCATCCGGTTCCCAGATGCCTACTATCTTATTCCCACCATGTCAATTCCAACAATACATTTTATGTTTTGACTCAGTCAATGAAGTCCAAACCTTTAAGTTAGTTTAATTTTGTTTCAAATTTACTGGCTTCTATACATTTACTGGAGCCCTGGTGGTACAGGGGTTAAGTGTTGGGCTGCTAACCAAAAGATTGGCAGTTCAAATCCATCAGCCGCTCCTTGGAAACCCTATGGGGCAGTTCTACTGTCCTACAGGGTAACTATGGGTCAGAATCGACTAGACAGCAATGGGTTTGTTTTTTTGGTTTATACATTTATTATGAGAACATCAATGAACACATCTCTCCTCATGAATCTAAGGTACTGACTAAACTTGGGGAAGAAGCATAAATAGAGTAAATAAAGTTAAATTTCAATTCTATCTCAAAGGAGAGGAACTGTCATTAATGGCAACCTTTATATGTTCCTAATAAGACAGCTGATATATAATTGAAAGTATATATATCATCATTTTTCCACCTCAGTATCACTTAAACCAAGCCCACCGCCATCGAGTCAATTCCAACTCATAACAACCCTACAGGACAGAGCAGAACTGCCCCATAAGGTTTCCAAGGAGTGGCTGGTGGATTCAAACTGCTAACCTTTTGGTTAGTAGCCAAGCTCTTAACTACTGCGCCACCAATATCACTTAGGAAGTCAGTTAAGTGTAGGAAACTCTGTTTCAGAAGCTTTGAGAACTTCAGAAAAGGGACAAATATTAACTGAATTAGCAAAATGGAGCCAGGCCTTCAAAAACACGCATTCCTCCTCTTGTTCTCCAAAACTATTCACAAAATGTCATTCTTTCTACACCTTGTGTTCATGGCAGTGCTTACTTCAAGGTGAACCTGTCCAGATTTCAGGTTTTGAGTTAGGTTAGCCTCAGCATAATGCCCAAGAACATGATAGTTCTCTGAGAATACATACTCACCCTCACCCAAACTCTGAACGCATGTTAAGAATACTTAACTTCAGGGTAAAATTCAACCAAAGCGTTTTATTCAACTGTATTGGGAGGAGATAATATTTAGATCTTATCATAAAAATATTTACGAACTTGTTTGTTTCAAGGTAAGCAACTTTGTCACAGTGGTATAGGAAAACAAAGGGCTTATGTGGTTTAAAAGATGTATTATAAACGACGATAACGTACACTGAACTTCTCCTGATCCAGGAGTATTTTTTTAAAAAATTCTGTTACTGACATAAATAATACCTTGGCAAATCATTTCAAACTTTACTTTCCCTTGATATTTTTCTATCTAGGTGAAAATTAGCTTAGGAGTTCCACGTTCCCTTGTTCCCCTGCCTATTGTGAACTATGAGATAAATACCAAAATGCTGAAAAACATGGGGAAGTAGACCAGACTAATTTGCCATAAATAAAGCCAAGGCGATTAATGTTTCATTTTTATACTCAACTGAAATACACCTTAAATATATCAGGCACCTCATTTAGTTCACTCATTTACTGTTCATTATTGCCAAAAAACAAAAACAAACCCATTGCCGTCGAGCTGATTCCAACTTCTAGTGACCCTACAGAACAGAGCAGAACTGTCTCATAGGGTTTCCAAGGAGTGGCTGGTGGATTCGAACTGCTGACCTTTTTGTTAGCAGCCAAGCTCTTAACCAATGTGCCACCAGGGTCCTGCTATTATTGCCAGCAGCTACATAAATACTGGTGAGCAAACAGCGTCAATTCCTACCCAGGAATTACCATCCAGGAAAGGAGACAGAAAACAGCCAGGTCAACAACAAAAAAGCACAGAATTACCTCTCCTGAAGTGAACTAGAGGAAAGGAAAGGGGTACTGAGAAAGTGAATAACTGGGACGAGAGTGGTCAGGAAGGCCTCCCTGAGGAGGTGACATTATGGTGGCGACCTGAGGGTATGGAAGGCCAGCTACATGAAGAGCCAGGGCACAGCACAGAAGGCAGAGGGAACGATGACCAAAGGTCCTAAGACAGCAAGGGGCTTGGCCTGCTCGAGCAACTCTGAGGCCTCCAGCATGGCTAGAATGTAGTGAGCAAGGAACAGAGAGGAAAGAGATGAGGCTGGAGAGGTGAGCAAGGTGCAGACAGATCACATGGAGCCTTGCCCTACAGGTCAAGGAGTTTGCATTTTATTCTTTGTACGATGGGAAGCAACTGAAAGCTTTAAGGAGGGAAATCACTTGGCCTGATTTAACATCATTCTGGCTTTGTGTGGAAAATTAATTGGA